ACTCGCAAAATATTTGAAAATTCTTGCAAAAATTGTTTATGTGGAAGAGTTTGTTTTGCCATAAATTATGTTTATTTGCAGGCATATTTTTAAAAATCTTTTCTTTATTGTTGCTCATTTTCATTGCTAGCATAATCCAGATGGCACGTGCGGGGCTGCCTTTTACTATAGCTATAGCTTAATGGATTTAATGTCGAGCTGTGGATATTAAGCAGCCTCATATAACGCATAAGTCAACGTACTCCAAGTCACGAACAACTAGTTAAAGTACTCTCAGCACATAAAGTTCCCGTTGCAAGAACATAAACGAGCAAAAACAATAAAAGACAGACCTCAAATGCCATAGAAAACGCATAAAATATTTGCAACAAATTGAAGCAGAGATTGCTCTAGGTGGCATCCTCTCCAGCGCGCGGCTGCGAAGACTCCAAGTCCACGCTTCAAAGTGCCAACGTTGCATTTCCTTATCAAAATCCGCGCTTGATTAGATGGAGTCGAGGACGGACGCCAGTTTGCAATTCAATTGCAACTTGGCGACAGACTGACAAACCGACAAACTGCCGAAGCAACAAAAGGCGAGCAGGCGACAAGCGGGGAGACTGCGGCTGTCATTAAGCGTCAATGGTGCAAGAAAACGCAATGGCTAAGCGCACAGTGGGACGGACAATGGGAAAAGTGAGTAGACTAATTTGCAGGGAAAAGGGAATCGAAATAGATGAGTATAACCGTTTTTATGCATCCGTATGCAGATACAGAAATAGTTTATTTTGGATTAGATACTAGTAAATTTTATAGAATGATAAGTTTATTTATATATTTATTTCTTTTATATATTTATTTCTGTTAACAGTTAACCTAACAATCCTTTTTTGTCAAACAATAAATAGAATACATTTTAAAACATATTTAAAAGCGAAGATTATTGTTTGTTTGTTGCCCACTGTGCGGCATTTGAAACTGCAAGTGTTGACTTTTGTGGTGGCAGCCATTAGAAGTGCGAGCCATAGACGAGTGCTTAACCAGCTCCCAGCCCGAACCCATATAAATAACGAACTCCAATATAAAATCTAGCGACACTTCAACTGCTCTCACTGCGTAGTTGCCTCTGTGTGCCCTCTCGCTCACACTCGCTCGCACTCGCACTCGCACGCACACACACGCAAGTTAACTGCGCTTTCAATGCTGCCGTTCAATCTGCGTGCAGTCCGATTGAAACGAAGCTCATTGAACGTGACGCCCTGTCTTTTTCCCACTCATATTCGAGCGTGCATCGAGCTCGTTCGTTTTGTTATTGGTTCGGTTTGCCCGTTGCCCGTTGGCTTCTGTTGCCTGCGACTTGTGGCGGTTTTTCGTATTCAGTTTCGATTCAGTTCGCTTTCAGTTTGTCAACGCGTCGCATGCGTTCGTCGTGCTCTGGCTATATACATATGTTCGGAATTTTTTGAAGTCTAACGAAATAATTTGCATACGAAAGCAGTGAATTAAGTGAATATCTGAATATCTATCTGTGTGTGTGTGCGTGTGACAAACATATTTATATAAAAAGCTAGAAGAAAATATTCTGAAACAGCTCAAATAAGACACCCTCAACAAGTTGTTAACCCCTCTATGGTCATGTCGCCCTATGCATCCTGCGTTCTCCTCCTGGGGTTGCTCTCCCTCGCACTGAGCCTGAGTACAGGTGGGTGGTGTTTACACTCTCTGCGTGCATTTGCATGGCTGTGCCAGCTAATTAAGTGTATTTGGCGCGTCAAGTGGCTCGAGTTTAGTTGGGTTCGCTGAACCAAAAAGAAATATGAAAAGCAGTCACCCAGCATCGCGAAGCATCATTAAGTTAAAGAAAAAACTATTACAACAACTCCTACTATTAGTTTTCCTTGATAAATTGAGCATTCGTTTCGCATACTTTAAATGTGACCCTCATTAATGAGCTCTATTATCTAGCGATAATCAATCAATTTCCAGTTTGACCTCAATTGATAAGCTGTCGGGCATTATCAATGCTATTGTTAAGATGCACTCATCTCATACAGCACTCAGCCTCCATAATGAGTGTCGTCACTGGGGCGTATACTTAACATTGCCTCAAGTGCGTGCAGCAGATTATTGCATGATTTATTTATATACGATGCTTATGCACTTGTCGGTTATTCTATTTATTTATACATTCAACACTGACAGCCTGCTGCCAGCTGACTGCGGCCTGTGTGGAAAAATGTTTTCACAACCTTAACAAAAATTAAAGAAATTCTCTTCACGACATAAATAGAGCGTATTAAATGAGGCTAACTGTAGATATATATAAATAAATACGAATATACAAATATGTATGTGTATGTGTGTATTCCGTGAGCTGTGCCATTTTCTAGACTTTCAAGAATTAAGAGTGCCCCATTTTCCGCACTGCAATAGAAAACTAGGCAGCTCAATTGATTAAAGTACACAACAAATGGCTGAATTTAATTGAATTGAAGCTGTAACAGAACTATCTAAATGAATTGTCGCACTCAAATTGAGCAACAACAAATGTTATAAGGGCGAGCCAATTCTATTTTTGTACAATTTTTATTGCCTTAATAAAGAGGGCTAAGACGTTGAGGGAAATGAAAACTGTAATTCTGAAGTGAATAAATAAACTTAAAATAAATTAATATCTGGAAATTTAAGTGTGGTGTCAGGTTACAATCTATTTGATTTTCGATAAATTAGATATAATTAATATATATACATATATATTATGTAATTCTAATAAACTATTTTTCTTTTACAATATGGTATTTAATTTATTAAATATTTATACTTCATTTATACTTTATTATATTAAATAAGTATTGTCATTTATAGGTAAAGGCAACTGCAGCTTTAAGGGTTTTGTAAATTGAATTTGAGCCTTGTTTTTAAATAAGTGATAAAAACTCTAAATTTTTTATTTATTTTTATAGAATATTTATGCTCTTATCATTTCAATTTAAACTGAAAGTATGCCCATAAATTAAGAATCAATTGATATAAATTGACTAGCCAAAGATCCAAATAATTCGAGCCAATTCTCCATCAATAACTTTCCTCTTTCAGTCAAAAGAATGCAGTACAATAAATTGCTTTTCACTGAACTGATTTCTCGCTTCGTTTCTCTTTAGTCAATTATGTTTTTCAAAGCTTTATTCAAATGAATCATATAAAATCAGTATTCCAGCTTCTAGCCTGTTTTTCAGAATTACTGCGCAGTTTTCTTGGGCTATGATAGCGGCCAGTAAGCATTTTTTGTCGTGTAACAATATTGTATTAAAACTTTATTTCTATGGCCTCTTTTGGGCTTAGTTTAGGTCTTGGGCCTGCCCACACTTACTTTTCGTAGCTTGTAACTTCACGATGTCGTCATACCTCCAATGTGTGTGGCATTTTGTTGTTGTTAGTTAAATGGGCGTGGGCTTCTGTTTCTGGACGCATTGTCAGTCAACTTTGTCTTAGTTGTGTCCACTCACAACTTTGGTCGGCGCACGCACCTCAATAAAACTGGGGACCCTGACAGTTTTAGTCTGGCACACATTCCATTTGCGACCTTGTTTTCTTTTTCTTTTCAAGTTGTTTTTACACATTGTTTACATTTCGTTCCGAAATTTCGCAGGCCAGAAAACTAGAAAACGAAAATAGTTTCAGTTCGAATTCCCATAAAAATCTCAGTTAAAGCCATTCGATTCTGT